CACGCATAGAACCCATAGGTAACTTTTTAGGCAGACGGAATCGCAGGCGATGGTATTATGACACACTAGCTTATGCCCGCAACTCCGTCCGCGTGGAATTAAAAAAAATCAAAAGTAAGTAACCTATGTGTTTTTCTATGTCCTACATCTGTGTCAAATTTTATCCACATCCGTTCACCCGTTAAGGCTACAAACTCTAACAAATATCCATCCATCCATCTAAACTTTCGCATTTATGATATTAGTATGATTGTACTAATTTTAGCCTTTCATTGCTTGTTTTTCAACCCTTTCAAAGAAAATGCTTCAATACGTTTAAATGAAAGCCGAATTTGAAATTTCTCCATAACTGGAAAAAGTACACAAAAGAGATTTCCATTCAGACCCACGAGACCGTGTTAGTATTTGTAGCTAGTTCGGCATACGCTATAACACTGAAAAGCCAATGAGTTTTTATATGTAAAAATGTAACAATTGCTAATCTGTTTGGAATTTAATCATACTGTCTTACTAATATTATAAATGCGAAAGTTTAAATAGATGGATGGATATTTGTTTGAGATTGTAATCTAAACGGTTGAACGGATTTCGATGAAATTTGGTATAGATGTAGAGGATAGTCTAAAAGAACATATGGACTACTCGCTTTATTTTTTTTATTTCCACGCGGAAGGAGTCGTGGGCGAAAGCTAGTTACAAAATAAAGTTACGTCAGTCTGTATGTACCTTCTCAATTTTAAATTATATTTATGCGGTGTTTCTATACTAAACAATCAAGTTACAAAGAATATTGAAGTTAAAATGTTGCCACTCGAAGAAATTTTCTTATTACATTCGTTCAGAAAGTTGTATAAGTAAATTATCATACACAAAACCACTTATAATTTAGTAATTTAATTAATTGTTTCTTGTACATGAGTTAAATATTTTGACAAAGTTATAGCGTAAACAACTTCGAAGTTTATAATATGTTTAATAATTTATATCTGTTATAAACTAAACAAATTAAATAAGTTTTGTTACACTAGCTTTCGCCCGCGACTCCGTTCGCGTGGAATTAATAAATCAAAAGTGAGTAGCCTATGTGTTCTTCCAGACTATCCTCTACATCTGTACCAAATTACATCGAGATCAGTTCAGACGTTTAGGCTACAAACTCTAACAAACATCCATCCATCCATCTAAACTTTCGCATTTATAATATTAGTAAAATAAACCACGTAAGTTGTTTGGCGGGTTTGAGTTATGCCTTATGTATGTATTATATTTTGGAAATAAAGAATAAAAAATAAAAGAAGTAAGATTACGATGCTTTCACCGAAAGATTTTTTTTAAACAAAATCAAACTAAAGCCCTAGAAAACACAGAAAAAACACAGAACGACTAAATGAACTAAATGAATCTATGTTCAGCAGTAAGTAGGATAACTCTAAAGCGATATTTAAAATTGTACTCTCCGTAATTTAATGAATATTCAACTTATTTCACTCAATTTTCAATGTTAAATATCGTCTCTTCATGAATTTTTAAATATCAAGGAAATCTCAATGTAATTTTATTCTTATAATTGATGAGTTCGGAATGAAGTAAGCCTCGCAATATTCCTAGATTGATAGACTATTTTGATACGTCTTACGGGCAATCAATTTTAAAGCGTAGGGTTTTAAACACAGTTTTTTAATTGTTTTATTGATCCTGGGTTGCTGAAGTCTAGATTTATCATAGCTTTCGCCCGCGATTCCGTTCGCGTGGTATTAAAAAAAAAACAAAAGTCAGTAGCCTATGTGTTCTTCCAGATTATCCTTTTCATCCGTACCAAATTTCATCGAAATCCGTTCAGCCATTTAGGCTACAAACCCTAATAAACATCCATCCATCTAAACTTTTGCATTTATAATTTTAGTATGATTATTACCTTTTTTTGGTATCGGGGTGAGGGGAGGGGGGAATGTTTGACCCCCGCGGTGGCAGCCCTCAGGTGCAATTTGAAGGTCCCGGGATCCAATAGAACGCACCAGTACTCTGCACTGAGCTTTTTCTCGATCCCGGGGACATTTTTCCCTAATGGCAACACGGGACTATATCGTGTTGCTATCGTCGCTGCATTGTTTTATTTTTGGCCTTAGCTTCAACGGAGAAAACTCAAGTTACGTAGTTCGGAAACGAATTTCTTGAAGTTATAAAACCAAAAACTCTAACAAACGGAGAGCGATACGAATCGTCAACGACCGAGCTCTTACTGATCGGCTAGATCCTCAAGCCTTGCAAAGGGACGTCAGTTCCCTCTTCATTTTTCCGCATTTACAACAGGAAGTGTTCCGAGGAGTTGTTTGGAATGATTCCGATCCATGTCCGGATGTCCATGGACATCGTTGACCACCTCGGTGTTCTCGCCGCTCGATTGTCCCCTTTTATTAAAAAAAATGGTTAAAATTTAGCTGGAAAAAATGCCTTTAGTCAGCCTTTTATTGTTCAAACCAGTTATACTTACAAAAGGCAAATTGCATTAACTTTTTTAATAGAATAGATGGAATGAAGTTCTCAAACTGATTAGTTAGACAGCTACCATAAATTACGCACGATCCAATTGCAAAGGTCGACGTGAGTGAAATACGCCGCCATCATGCGATGTGACTCGATTCCATTATGTCCTTTACAGCAATAGAATTTTACGTGTGGGATAGTATTGAAGGGAAAGTCTCTGAAAGAAAATGAACATAGTAAAATCCACCCATCTCATTTTAAACAAGACTAATGCCAAATTTTTAAATAGCTTTTTCTGTTGAAATTAAAAAAGAAGTTTGTATTAAATATGCCTATGACACTCAGTAATAATACAGCTTTGTAATGGCAAAGGAATTTTTTTAATCGTTCATGTAGTTTTTGAGTTTATACGTTACCTACAGAAATACATCGGTGGCTAAGTGGTTTAAGCACTTGACTTGTAATCTCCTGGTCTTGGGTTTCAATCCCACTGTACCAATGTGATTTTTAATTTTTAGAATTTTCATTAGTACATAATTAACCCGACGTTCTTACGGTGAAGGAAAACATCGTGATGCCTGCACATATCGGCGAAGACATTCAAAGATATGTGTGAAGTCATCCCGCAGTGCAGCGTGGTTGACTATGGCTAAGTTACTAACTTAGGGTAGGCTCCGAGCCCCTCAGTGGGGATGTATAGTGAGCTGGTGATGATGATACATAAATACAAATCATTAAAATGTTAATTAAATATTGTTACTTTGGGCAATAGAGTTAATTTTTTTGTCTAGAAAGGATCGTTTCCTTATATGAGTTGTTTTTGGATCGATTATCGATAGAGGGGGTTAATAAAAGATGTTTTTTCATGTCATCGTTTTTTATTTATTTTCATTTACAATAATAATACTAACTATGATCGAAGTTGAAAATATGTACCTTAGTATTTTTTATACTATCTCACTAAGTGCTCTTAACAATGTAGTTTTTTTTAAACATTACAATATAACTATTACATTAATTAAAAACTATTATGAAAATTAATATTCTTGTGCTGTAGTTAAACTATTATTAATAAGGAATTAACTTAAAATAAAATAAGACATATTTGTAATAAGACATAATAATGGTAATTTTTTATTCTTCGATTGTACATTTTCACGTATCTAGATGTACAATTATTAAAAAATAATAATTAAAATGGAAGTAATAATACGGGAATAATTTGTTTCTATTGATGACAATCTAGATTTGTTACGCCATATTTTGTATAACTCAATTATTTCAAATTATTAATGTTATAAGATTCATATCCTACTTGTTTTTTAAATCTAAATTTTTTATTAATTACAAGGATTCATTATTAATTAATATTATATACATTTGTTTATTTTTTAAACTCTATGAAGTATTTAAATATTTGTTTTGGCACTATATTTTATATTTGTTATCTGTATGTATATAATTTATTTTGTAAAATCTAGCTAAGTTTTTTTCGATAAGACACTACATAAATAGGATCGATCGCTTTGAAATAGATCCCATACTATTGTAATGTTATATATATTTTAAACTTTAAATACATAATAAATTTTAAAAACATTATAAGAATAACAAAGTAAATAAGTTTACAATTTAAGTACATAATGAAATAAATAATAAATTCAGCAATATACGAAATTGAGCGAAAACGTAATCAACAGTATTTGTATAATAAATAATTAACTTTACAATAATATTTGTGCAAATCCGATTTAAAGGGCAAATCTAACATTTAATTAAATATTAACACACATTAACATCAAATTCTTTTAAAAAAATCATTATTTCATCATCATCCTCCTACTCCTATCGGGGGGGGGGGGCACAACAGGTTTTTGTCCTCCAAATCACTATCATACGTCATCTCAGTCATCATAACAGTGGCAGAGCCCGCTTTAACATCTTCGCACGAATGGGCCGACCCGCCTGGTGTAATACCACGACCGAACAGAAAACAGGCGTGAAATGGAAGCAATTCCGCGTTTCGTATGATGAGTGGTCCGGAGACCTAATTTTAGTCTCTTTCCCATTCCACCCTTTTCTTAAGAGGAAATGATGGGGAGAAAAAGTGGATTTGACGGTGGAGGAGACGCAGGTGGATTCAGGTGGCCGCTTGCTCGTGTGCCACTTTATATTATAAAAAAACTCTCTTTTTAACCATGCCCCTTTCACGCAATTCATCCATCTCTTTCTAGGTCTACCTCTACCGATGTACCTCCACACTCATAACTAACGTTCTTGTAACATGCGATTCATCCCTCCTCATAACAAACCCATACAATGCAAACCTTTTGTTTCATTATTAATATAATTATTGAATCAAAATTAAATACTATTAAAATTATTAATTGATTTTTATTTGTTTGATTGTTTTTATTTACGTATTGTTTTACATATTTTTTATAATCTATGTTAATTTTATTATATGTCTGTTCCTTGTTACTTTCGGATCTGTTGGATCCGTAGTGTGTGCGGGATCAGAGTCTCTTGTGTGTCTCGGAGCTGGAACTCTTTAAGGATCCGAAGCGTGTATGTGACCGCGCGGGCGTCGTCTCTCGATCTAAGCTCGCGGCGCGCAAGATCAACCCTCGAGATTGTGTGGATATATCACGTGTTGGCTAAAGGGGAATTGTTCATTGCTATTAAATAGATAACGAAGGTTTTATTAAGTTAACTCTTAATTCGATGAAGTTTTTTTGCAGCAAAAATTGTATGTTACCAACATATTAAATTCAAAATCTCATGTTTTTTTTAAACTAATTGAGTAATTTTTTATATTAATTGTTTGTTCCTTTCGAATTTAGGGTTAAAGTTGTAATTTTAAGAACACTGTAATTAATAGTGTAGATAAATATGAGACGAAAAAAGTTAAATCATTGATTTTACACATCTTAAGTACAAAATGTACTCTTTAATTAACTAAAACAAATTTGAAAATACATTTTTCAGTATCATAACAGTAAATATTAAATCAATAAGCATAACTAATTTGATTTAAAGCATTTTGAACTTCACCTATATCACCTTTAGAATTATTAATTTTATTTGATTATTAACATCATGTTTTTCTACTTTCTTACCTGTTCCCCAAGAGAGGCGAGGCGGCGCTGCCGCGGCTCCCGCGCGCTGTCGCCGCTCCTCTCAGTAAAGGAAGTTTCCAGAGACCTCTGCGACGCGTCACTAACAGACTGCGAGAGGAGATGTGTGGTAGAAGACGAATTGGAATCGTCGATGTTTGAAAATTCATCCGGACTGTCTTCTCTTTGCGGTGTATCCGATTCCTGGGTATAAAACATGTATGTGAACTTACTATAAAATGAAAAGATCTTAAGTGTTTAAATTAATTTAGTTCAAAAAATCGAAAACATTCAATACTTGCCTCTTCCAAATCCCTAAGAGTGGTTGGATAATGATGTCTTCTCGATTCTTCTCTTTCTTTCTCGCGCTCCCTCTTTTCTAATTCATTAGCTAACATCATAACTTCCCAGTCACTTCCACCTCCTGTAATAGTTTCTTAAATTAAAGAAAGATTCTTCGGTTTTTCACTTTTAATATCAGTATAAAGGTTTTAAAACTTTAAAGACTCGTGCATTTTTAAAAAGATAAAGTTCTGTGCGACTTCGAAAGAACTTTTAGAAAGAAATAAATCCTGATATTATAAATATTGAATGAGGTATGGTGAGATTTTAGATCGTTATTTTCTTGGTGTTGAATAAAAATGAAAAAGTAAACATCAAAACAACAGTGTTTTATTAACTAGCTGTTTCCGAGCGGCTTCATCCGCGTGAAAGTATAAAAAACTTTGTTTTATTGTTTACTTTCTCAATTGCAAATGTCAATATTCAAATGCACGCGTTGCATTCATCCTTGATGTTGGCAGCTTGTAGTTTATGGTCCCTTTTCCACACGAAATTTTCACGCTATTAAACTTAGGGGATATATATTTATATAGCCTAAAGCGTGTCGTAAGTGTAGGGCCTTTTATTAAAGAGAGAATTATTCAAAAATATGCTGTGATTGCTGATATCCTACGCTACGAAGTAGAGGATATTTATGCTTTATTATATTAGTATAGATATAGATTCCTAACTTTAATAACTACCTCTTATAGGCGACATGCTGCCGTGCCTGGATCCGCCCGCTCTGACGCGTCGACTGCTGTTTTCTACAAACTCTTCAAATACTGGTGTTCTTGGTATCGACTCTGAATCGCTACTCGATGACGTTGAAGCCCTAAGTCATCAGGTTAAAAATATTATACCACTAAATTTAAAAGTGATCTAAGTCACTACGAGTACGAGATAATTGGGTCATGCTTGCCTCGGTGGGGTTTTCTATATCTTTTGAATCTCTGAAAAATTGGTTGATTTTTGCTAGCAGGAATTAAGTCAGAATTATATTGTAACTTTATATATACTGTGTTTTTAAAAATTATATAAATACTAGCTTTCGCTCGCGACTCCGTCCGCGTGGTATTAAAAAAAAAAACAAAAGTGAATAGCCTATGTGTTCTTCCAGACTATCTTCTACATCTGTACCAAATTTCATCGAAATCCGTTCAGCCGTATGCTACAAACTCTAACAAACATCCATCTTTCCATCCATCCATCCATCCATCTAAACTTTCGCATTTATAATGTTAGTATGATTATATTTACGCGTCACTCCAGCTGGAGTCGCTGGCCACGTCGAGGACGACATCAGTGCAGTTGCCGGGAGCGCTGGCGGCGGCGGCGGCTGCGGGCGGCGCGCTGCGGTTGTACCCGAAGAAGGAACCCAAACTGAACTTGCGATGTTGCCGTCCTTGGCCATGTTCTAACAAAAAAAATGTAACACCATTAAAACATAAACCAAATATCATAAAGATATGTGTAGTTAACATTAAACTCGTTTTGAAAATAGTGGAACTGAATGCGTTAATAGCAATGGGAATCCTGCAAGCAAAGATAATAATATTACTAATATTATAAATGGGAAAGTTTAGATAAATGAATGTTTGTTAGAGTCTGTAGCCTAAATTGCTGAATGAATCTCAATGAAATTTGATCTGAATGTCGAGGATACTCTGAAATAACACTTAGGCAGCTTTTTTAATTCCTCCCGGACGGAGTCGAGGGCGAAAGCTAGTTCTTAATATAGTACTTACTTCTATCATGTCTGCCCGTGTGATGCATTCCAGTATCAACGGATAGAGTTTTCTTAATTTTCGTTTTAGTGTTGTCCAGGTGAGTGCCAAAGAAGTGAAAAGGATGAATACCGCGTCTCGAAGTACGGAGACTGGATTGTTCCGGACTCAGCAAGGAACGGTCTTCAGCCGTCATTTGTGGTGACATCGGTCTGCACAATAAATCATACTAATACTATAAATGCGAAAGTTTAGATGGCTGGATGTTTGTTTGAGTTTGTAGCCTAAAACACTGAATAGATGTCGATGAAATTTAGCACAGATGTAGAAGATAGTCTGGAAGAACATATAGGCTACATGCTATTAATTTTTTTAATTACACGCGGATGGAGTCGCGGGCGAAAGCTAGTGAGTTATAAAATTCATTCCAACCTAGTCAAATCTTGCATTTCCACGTTCTCCTGGTCACTTTGGTCATCCCAGGATTTACGTTGTTTTAATTTTGCAGCTCGTTTTCTCGAATAAGTCCCCGCTTTTCCATCAAGATTCAGATCTAATCTCTTAGATTTACTCAACGACCATTGTTCTTTGCTAGATGACGTTTTATCTGTTTTACTTGTTAATGATTCTGCAAGGCTTTGTAATTCTGAATAAGATAATTTCGTTAATTCAATTCCGCCGGTCATTTCTGTTAGTTTCTCGTCTGTTAAGTCATCACTTGATATTATTTTCCTTGATGCGGCCACTTTTGTTTCGGATTCTGGTTTCGGTTGTTTATTTCCTTCTTCAGGGCTTATATTTGGCGGAGATGAGGCGAATACTGTATCTAAGGAGTCACCTCTCTGGAAAATGTTACGATGAATTGAAATATAGAAAACTAAAACACAATAGCTACTAATTGGAATTTTGAAAAAGTTAATTATAAAATACGGTATCAGAATGATTTTTTTCTAATGTTCTTTTACGATTTAAATAATTAAAAAAATACTTATATTTGTTAAATTTTATGCCACGAAATTAAATAATATTTTAAGTGTTGATACAACCATAACAATTTGATTTTAATTAAAGTTGAATAATATTACTTTTATCATTGAATGTAAATTTTATTACTAGACAAAAGTACCATAAATCCTTCATCAGCCACAGAAGCTTCATCACTACCGGAACTACCGTTTTTAGAACTCGGTTGGTTTCTTATGTCTGTATTAGGACATTGTTCCCGTACATCAGTTAAGTTTGTTGCAGTTAAATCTACATTCTCTAACTCTTGTATCCGTTTCTGTAATTGGCTTATGATTTCATCACGTTTCCTTACTTCGTTCTCTAAGTTACTAAATCTGGAAAATCAATTTATTCCCTAAGTTAAAAGTAATGTTAATATTAAGAGCGAGCGCACCGTTGCCAAAACAATCGCACAACTGTGTGCGATTATCGATTGTTTCGCAGCCAAATCAACTGTTTAGTTGCACAACTAAAAATCGAGTAGTGAGACCTCCATATAAGTTCATAGGAATCAAAGCGAGATTTAACAGTAGAGCAATAGTATAGTTTCAGGTGTGCGCGCGCCCTAAGTGTAATTAATCAAATGTTTTCTTTACCTGTCTTGAAATATATCCTGCATATCATGTAAATGATTTTGTATCACTTTCTTGATTCCTAAAAGGACTTCACCAAAATATTCATGGTCTTCTAATGAACCTGTACAAAAAACAATTTTTTAAATAGCAAAATAATTATACTTTAAGCAAACCACTTTTATGGTTAGTTGAATTTGAACTGGTATACCTCGCAATAATTTTCTTTGATTGGCGACAGCAGAAATACCTGTAAGTTTAGGTTTTTCTGGTGGTACATTGATTTCTTCTGGCCTTAGTAATTTAATATCGAATACCGGAGCAATATCTTCTTGAACGTCACATTCATTTCCAGTTAATACAAGGCGATCGAAATCTTCATTGATATCTTTTTCTGGCCTGACTAATTGATTTTGAGGTGCTGCAATGTCGGGCTCTATAGCAGGTGGAGAAGATATTTTTGGAACAGACCCATTTTTACTATCAGGTATATGAAATACATCGTCATCGATATCTGAAGGTGCACTTGCAGGTGGCGATGGTAAAGTGTGTCGATGAAATGTAACACTTTTTGCAAACTTTGAATGTCTAGCTGCATATCCCTCGATAGTTGGTGCCCGAATTAACTTTCTCAATTCGTTGCTTCTTTCTGGACTTTGAACTGGTGTAACGTCTTCTGATAACTTTTTTAATATCGATTTAAGAGTTCTTCTCTCTAATGTTTCGTTCGATTCGTGACTACCAGAAGAATCGATTGATTTCCTTTTAAATTTTCTTTTGTACATTGTACTGCCTTCTGAGTGACTTCTGGTTAATGTGTCACAAAGTAAATCTTCGGAGGAACTAGCACAGTCTAAACTTGAACTTCTAAACTTCACAACTCTCTCGAGTTCTGCAAGTTTTTGTCTTTCATTCAATATTTTTAGTTTTTTGACAAAAGGTAGACCACCATATTCAGGTGATAAATCATCTATTGATTTATATTTTTTCGCTTTAGGTAAAAGCATTGTCCCTGCGGTTATCGTCGGCCTACAGATATCACTGGCTTTCGTAATTTCATATTTTTTCGGAGATGTTGACAACACTTCTACCTTTTTTTCTTGGACGGATTCTAAAGGCCCTGTTAAGCAAATTTTAGGTTTGTCGTGTTTAATATTATCACTGTCAACTTTTACATTATTATTGTCAATCTTAACGAGCTCTGCTGTAGTTACAACCGGTACTCTTATATTAACAGATGTCTCTAGTTTACTACTTTCAGTACTAGGTATAACTAAATCTTTCGGTGAATCGATATCGGGTTTCTTTTCTTCCATAGATTTGCTTTGACTCTTAGAATCACCTAATATCGCAGCTTTTTTCAGCTTAGTCCAGGGTTTCTTCATTTCTTTTTTAATTTCCTCCTTAATTTCCGTAGATTGAACTGGTGACACTTCGGCCGAATTTTTCTCATTTTGTTTACTTTTTTCTGATGAACTTGCGTCAGTTTCCTTGGAACTATTTCCTTGAAGTATTTTTAATCTGTCTCGAAATGAGGAGGTCACTGCTTTAGCCGGGGATTTAATTTTACTTACGACTGAATGTGGTATAGATATAAGGTTACTTTCTGTTTTAGGTGTCGGTTCTACTACGGCTGCGGGTTTTTCTAATAAATCTTTTATTAGAGGTTGAGAAACGGCAGTTCCATCACTTTGAACTTGAAGTATTTTATCTCTGAAGCTCACTTTCGGTCGTGAAGTACCGTCGCTTGAGCCTGAAGAATTTTTCCTTGACATTTTTGCTGTGGGACTATGTAGTCTGCCTGGTGAACTGGACTCTGATCCTTTTCTAATCGGACTTAAGGTTTTAATTGTAGGGCTTAAAGGACTTTTAACAGAACTTGGGCTTATCGTTTCTGAGCTGGATTGTTGATTACTGTTGGTAGGGGTTAACTGATTTTTTTCTCGTTCTTCTTTAGCTTTCAATAGCAGCAGACGTTGTAATAGAGGAAGCCCAGCTCCAATAACTTCAGGTTCAACATCAGGGGCAGTACTGGTTGATGGAATTGGTTGAGGTGTAGATATTGATGCTACAGAAGATGTAGAATTTCTCTGCTTAGCGACTTTTTCTTCGCGATCCTGTCAAGGAATCGTTATGTAACTAAATGTTTTCGTTTATAATTAAATTTAAATCAAATGTTTGAAAATATACAAATAAACATATTTGCAGTTAAATGTCACTTACTTGTTTTTCTTTTAATAATTTCAATCTCGACAATAAAGGTAAGCCAGCACCAATAGGGGAAATGCATTTTTCACCAGTTTTAATGCCTGATGTTTCACCAATATCCTACAAAAGTTCAATTTCAAAAAGTGATTCTAAATAATGTCATAGATACATCTTCTGAACATGAAATTTTTGTTCAATTGGTACGTTTAGCGGGATGTGATTGGTCAGTATAAAATTTTCGAACTAACTTATCTTTGAATCATTTTGACATTGCTATAGAAAAGAGAACTAACCGATGGTAAGGAGAATACTGTAAAGGGAAAAGGATAAACCTCTTGGTGGTGCGGCTGCGAGTCGTCACTCTCGACGCGAGGCATCCTCCGCAGCACCTTGGTGTCGGCCGCGCGCTCCGAGCTCGACAGCGACTGCAGCTCCACCGACTCTCCTGATCTGCGACCGGCGCGCGATCTACTTCTGATTGCATTGCGTATTCCCTGCAATTCGTCATCTGATTGATTTTTGTAATACAATAAAATTTCTGGAAGACAATATCTAATAAGCCGTTTACGTGAATGGCATAATATAGAAAGATGAAGATTGACTTCAGTCATCGTTCCCTTCTTGATCATGTCTTCTTTCACGCAATCCATCTATCTCTTTCTAGGTCTACTTCTACTAGTGTTTCCTCCCACACTCATAACTAATACCCACCTTGTTACATGTGATTCATCGCCCCTCATAATATGCCCATACCATGCTAACCTTTTACTCCTTACCTTCTCTACCACTGGGGCTATTCTCAGACTTCCTCTAATGTACTAATTTAATTTTCATAAGTTAAACAAAAAGGAAAAAATAGAAGTACCTTAACATCGGTCCGTAATTTATGTACAATGCGTTTTGATGTACTGTCATCACCTGTTTTATCAGGACTTGTTTCACCTAAAATGGTAAAGAAGTATTAGAGCCTGTCCCACCACTTGCTGATAGCTTAAAAATGTCGTTGACGTAGGATTGTTATCAGACAATTTACAATTTGGTGGGACAGGCTCTTAGTCATTATATTTTAATATCTGTTGTTTATCGAGCAAATTTTAAAACTCCAGTTATTGCTTGTATTTTGAATCAAAAACATTGCTTTTTGCAACACGTTGTAATGAGAACAAAGTTTAATGAAGAGCAATCGAAGTATTTGTTTAGTTTGAATTCTGTTCTGTTTTGTTGCATTTGGTATTTGAAATTGAAGTTTTGATTACCGCTGACACCGTATCGTGTTTATATTCATATATACAGGGTTATTGGTAATTCGACGTATTCCCGTTAGAAGGTAATAGAGATTTGACCCCATATGCATTTTTAAGTTTAGTTAGATTTTTTAAGAATACGTAGCATTACCAATAACCCTGTATATTATAACTTAAGCTTATTTCAGTGTATGAGAACTGTTTACCTTTGCCTTTTTGTCGGGACATATTTTTTGCTTCCTGTAGTCGTTTTCTACCAAGAGTTTGTAGTATTTCTTGGGCTTCAGGGTAATCCTTCATAGCAGCTAAGACATCTTCCCGTGATAGTGAAAATAGTTCAGAATATCCTACAGAACGGACATCTGCTGTTCGTCTACAAATATAATGAAGGAATATTCACTAACGATTTTTTTTTATTTTATTGGACAAAAACATAAATTTAAAAAATACAATAAAGAGCTGTTATAAGCGGTACAGAAACCCACAGGATTTATGTGTAACCACTGGTCGCTTAGTTAATAACATATAAAAAATAATAAAGAAACTTAGACTACTTTACTCACAAACAACGCAGCCATTCAACAGTGGAAGAATTTGAAATATTTATTTTTCACTATACGAGACTTTACACTATACGTAAATAAATCTCAAAAAAACTGTTGTCTATTTTGTACTGGTTTATTAATGTGACATAATCTGCAGTGAAAATCAACTGAACTTACTTGTTAAGCCCATCTAGATTTAAAATACCAATTTCCCCGAAGAAATCACCAGCTTTCATAGTTGTGAGTACACGACCTGTTTCTGATATTACCTCCAGAATACCATCGGCGATTATAAACATTTCTCGAGCCACCTCTCCTGCGCACAATAAACGTCGCATGAGAGTAAAAACGCGTACACATTTGACTAAACTATCGCACAACTGTTTAGTCTTGCTTTGATTCTTATGAGCTTATAAGGAGGTTACACCACTCGATTGTTAGTTGTGCAACTAAACAGTTGAATTGGCTGCGAAACAATCGAATATCGCACAACAGTTATGCGATAGTTTACTCAAAGGTATGTGCCCGCTCTAAACATCTGTTAGCATGATTATTGTATTAAGGAGTTCATATTTTTAAAAACTTTTTAGTTCAGTGAGTTTTGATCACAAGCATTTACCTTTTCGACATATAGAATCTCCGGGCGTGAAAATGTAAGCCTTCATCTTCAAGACAAGATCATGCAGAAATTCTGGTTGACATTCTTGGAATATTGTCACCTAAGAAAATCGAATGTAATTAATTTTGTTGCTAAGGAGCTTGGGTCTTCACATTTATTCATATATTTATACTATATGTATGTTACCTTTTTAAGAACGCTTAAATTGACGTGTAAGGCGAGTTCGGTTTTTAATTTATCAGGCAGCAGACCGAGAGCCGTGTTGATGTCTCCTCCACCCTGTATCCTACCTCGAGACCAGGAGTAGTCGTACCATCGAAGTACCCGACGTTTCATACCACCTGGTACCTAAAACAACGAGATATTGTTTAGTTATTTGGTAGTTTTACAGCGTTTGAAATGGTCCTCTAATTATTTTATTCTAGTAGTAACTTTTACTGGCTTGTTCCTTATCTTAAAAGGAAACTATCTGAAAGAAACGAGATGGTTTGTTTGGCATCCTATTAGATTCCATCTTTCTTCTTATTATTCTTTTTTTTGTTTGTAATTTGTAATCTAAACTGCTGAGCGGATCTCGATGAAGAGATAGATGTCTACATACTCGAGTATAGTCTGGAAGAGCACAGGCTACTTACTTTTGCTTTTTCTTAGTTTCACGCGAATGGAGTCGCGGGTAAAGGCTAGTAATAAAATAAACTTAAAATTGAAAATCCTAGCATTTACCTTATGATGTCTCATGTATGTTTTAGCGCCATCAAGCAATCTCTCAAATTCCAGTCTATTAGCGTTCCGATTGGTTATAACATTGCCCACTTGACCCACGATGGTCGCGAAAATAAACACCCCAATCAAATAACTGACGATGGTAAACACATATCTGTGAAATAAATTGCTTTTTAGACTTACATTCAATTTAAGGGCCTGTCCCAACACTGGCTGATAGATGCTCAGATAGCTTAAAAATGACGTCACATATTTTACACGTTGGATTTTTATAAGACAATTTACAATTTAATGGGACATGCCCTGTCTTTTATCAAAACAAGTGCTTGTAAATATCGTGTGTATTTGTACTTGTAAGTGATTTTTTGATTATTTTCATTTCTTTTATGTGAGTTTTTGTTGTGCGTATGTGGGTGGGTAAGGTTAGATTATTGCATGAAATGTTAGAGATAAATTTAGTAACAGATAAATTGTTAAATCAGTGAATAAAAATGATAAATATATAGAAAATAATCACTCAAAAACAAAGGACATATTTAAATAGCATCTACATTATCGTTAAAACAGAAAGGGTGCAAAGTTTTCGAACAGTTGCAAATAGTACAAAACACTCCAAAATTAAACGTATAACAGGCGATAAATACAAAATGGCGGTTTCATCAGTGAAGGCTGTTCGAAAACTTTAAGAAACTCCTCGACCGGCGTCGATGAGATTGAAAAAAAATAAACAAATAAAAACAAGTTTCATGACAATAGAAACTATTTTAGTCACATCAATTGTCGTTACCCGAAGTTTTCGCTGCAATGCGAACAGCCTCCAAATTTCTGCCGCCGCCATTTTAATTTTACAAACTCCACTCAGCTGTTTCCCGCCAACGACCGCTCATAGACAATTTTTATTTTTTAAGCCGAGAGAAGATATTTTTTTTTAAATTCACACAATTCAATTTTTCAAATATTTTAAATTTATGACCCTATAAGATTAATTCTTTTTATAAACAGCCGTTGGGTTATTTTGGATTTTAAATAAATGGAATGGAAATCTAACCTTAAAAACACGAAAACTGCTAACGATTGGTCATACCATGTCATGGCAATATTTTTTAACAAATTCTTTTAACAGAAAAAACATAGGCGATATTAAAAGTCATCTTTCACACACACAAAGACCTCTATACGACTTTTAGAGCCCTTAATACCTAATTTCAAATACAAAGAGGCTATTTGACTTTATAATAACTATTTCATTAAATACGTTTGCCGTTGTCAGACAGGTCTAGACAATTATTTTTGAGGATAGGTATTATTCTGTCATTTTACAATAAACCACTATAATCAGAGCCCTTTGTTAATATCTCTATAATATAAAGATGGAGCTATACTCGTGGAAAATGTTTTAGTAGTCTATGAAGTAGTGATTTAGAAATTAAGAACAATGTTGCGTTTAAAAACTTTCAAGTAAATAATCACGTCATTAATACGTCATATGTGGAATAATAACCTAACTTTTTTTAACTTTTTAAGACGATATGGAAAACTTTTATGTGCGAAAAATAAAAGCGATTAGTGTAAGAAAAAATGTGAAATGTCGCTACTTCCTAAAGTGATACCAATAAAGTGAAAGAAATGTGCCATCTCTAATCGAATACTACCAAAACACATTGTACTCTTTGAATCAAGTGACAAATTATGTAACCACAATACCTAAATGTTATATAGAAAATTAAAAATAAATAAAACATTGTATAATGAACCTGATATCTGTTAATGTAATTACTGCTTTATTGTTAAAAGAATAATGTTGAAATCTTAATAACAATGATTTGACCAATCGTCTGCAGTTTGATGACATACCCTTTGTTCGATCGGAACTGCAACAAGCGGGACTTGAGTCCGCGGCGCGGCAGAAATTTGGGACCTCCGAGCACACTAGTACATATAACCTTTGTATTAAAAAACTATTATAGATAAAAAAGTAGGGACCAAGGATAACTGCTTATGGCACCGATCCTCGAACACCGTTTTTACTGGTAATTTTTTGAACTACACTTTACTTAAAGCAAAAACTGAAACGATCCTTATAATAATTCTCAGATTCGTTAAATGGTCACTAAGAGAGATGCTTAGTCTTGATTAAGTAAAAGAAAAATATGCCTAGTAACTTATTTGCTATTTTAAAAGGGTCGCAAATAACTTTGGGTGCGGACAGTTAACTTATACATTTGTTCTCAACAATATCATATTCAAGACTGGATTGTTTACTTATTTAAGTGTATTTATTAACCTTCACCTTTGTGTGGCAACGCCTTTACTTATCGAAATGAGGTCACAGTCAGAGAAAATAAAACCCAACCCTATCATGTTAACTGTTGGCAATCTAATCGGAATTCCGATGGGATCTTAATGACTTTACGTTTGGAATTTAAATGAATTTAACGTCTGGCTCTTTTAATTTCGATTACAAAGCTATTTGTAATCATTTGCAATTATTCCTTATAATTGTTTCTGTGATAACATTCGTGTTAGCTTGTGATCGAAATACCGCACTCACCGCCACACTCAGAGCCACTTATTTAAGCATTACCTTAGGGATTGTTAATCACGTGATTCTCGGGGAAGGAAAGGGTTCTAATGATATTGTTACAATTATGTTAAAGTTTTTACAAAAAATCATGTGTCTCTGGGTGTAGGAGAATACTCTAAAATCTCACTAAATTATACAGGAGGTCAATAAAATGTCAAAAATATCACGCGATTAATAAACGACCGCTTAGTGCAGATGTTTTCTGTTACACAAACGGTCTGCTTTAGTAATTTAACTATAAATACGCCAGCAAATCAGATTTAAATTCTCTCTCTCTAAGACTCAATCTCTTTTAGTGACCAAACTCCTGCGTATATGGTAAATGTGATAAAAGTAAATGTAAATTTTAAATAAAATAACTATAAATACAGTCTATGAAATAAGTGTGTTATGTGTTCAAATACTTACTCAGCGTTCGTCTCTGGTGTGGGTAGATCGCCAATTGTTGTTAAAGTGAGGGTAGACCAATAAAGAGAGCCGAGGTACTTTCTTGTTAGTGTAGCGTAGTCGCCTGGTCTATGCGGGTACACCCAATCACCCTGTGGGAAATCTTTTTATTAGTACACGAGCTGTTCCGGTGCGGCTTCATCCGCATGGAATTACAAAAACTTTATTTTATTGATAACGTTTGTGTAATTTTTAATTATAAATGACAAAATTCAAATGCACCATTGACAACGGTCTTTGACATTAGATAACAATTGCCGTTAGCATGGCAACCTTGTTTCTTTTATGTTGTCAGTTTGTAGTTTTTGTTTTTTTCCCGCATTACGGTTTTGTCCAAATTATTTACCCCCTCTAAGTTTATTAGCGTAAAAATTGTATAGTAGTAGTAATTAAATGTTTCAACATAAAATAACTTCTCTAAAACGTAGACACTAAATTTAAATGTAAATTGTACACTAAATTACCTACGCACAAAAGACAAACATATTCAAATATGAACTGGTGTGAGCAATTCACTCGTTTAGTATTATTTTACAACCCTACGTGAGAAATATAACAAAAATTGTGAACGTAAAATTTACTGCTTTAAGCACAAGTTATATTTCTTGTTGTAAATTTGTACATGCATTATTCATGTAACTCGTGCGAATTTTAAAAATGTAAGAAAAGAACGATTTTACGCAATTTTGTAATCGTAAATAATTTACGAGTCAATTTATATGGAATAAATAAAAGGGTAATAGTAATTTATTCCAGTGGATATAATTACATAACAATTTAAAATCATACTATTTTATAAATAAATGGAAATTATACGATAACTTTTAATTTATAATTTTACTTTTAGAGCGGGCGCACACTTTTGACTAAACTATCGAACAACTGCTGTGCGATTGTCGATTGTTTCTTGTGCGTTTGTCGATTGTTTCTCTGTCTAGTGTAATATATGGTAAGTTCAAAGGAATCAAGGCGAGATTAAAAAGTTGTGCGATAGTTTAAAAAAATGTGTATGCATGCTCTTAGAGTTTTTCTATTTAGTTCAGACATATAAGTCGTAATAAGTAACATTTTATCTTAAAACTGTCTACGGTTAAGATAGATTATTTTAATTCGGCAAATCCGTTCAATTCGCTCGAAGTGGTGGCGTCCAATTTATGTCCAGCTATCTTGTAGCGCTGTCTTAATAGACCATTTCGGTTTCGAATAGTTTATATTAGAGAGTCCTATTAATTTCTATTTCAAGATTTGTATTTGATCGTTTCTTATCATTGAAATATTAAGTGTTTTGAATGATTGAAAAACTTTATCACAAGTGAGCGAGAATACAAACAAAAAACTTTAGAAATGCTCATATAAATAATCATACTAATATTATAAATGCGTAAGTTTAGATGGATGGATGTTTGTTAGTGTTTGTAGCCTAAACTACTGAACGCATTTAAATGAAATTTGGCATAGACGTAGAGAATAGTCTGGAAAAACACATGCTCACTTAAATTTTTTTTAACTCCATGCGGTCGGAGTCCCGGCCGAAAGCTAGTTTTAAATAATTCAGTAAGCAGATTAAAGTTAGTTTTTATTTATTGCTGCCAATACGCTATTTCATTGTTTCCGTTACATTAAAAATATATGAGGTTAAAACTTTCACATAATTGTAATAAGTAACTAAAATTAATCATATGATAAAGGGAAGTATCACAAATCACAAACCATATGATAAAGGGAGGTATCGGGAGTTTACTTAAGTTTTGGTGTAAAATGTGCAAGTCAGTTTATAGTGATAATATTATGCAGTCTTGAGAGATTTTATTAAAACACTGACCTGAAATCCTTCTGCTTCTGATAGCAAGAAGTAGAAGCAGCCAAACCAATGAGCGAGGATCAAGAGAATGTGTATCAAGTTTATAACTCGCCAGAAGTTGGGATATACTGTACGAGATTCCACCATATAGTAGCAGCTTACAGCTCGGTACACCTGTCCAAACAAACAATTAAAATTAAACCCAATAATCGATCCGGGTTTTGATATCTGTGGTATTTTAATTAGCAATTCAAATCCAGTTTCTTTAATTTAACCGATCTACGGATAACAATTTGAGAAATCTGTACTATCCGAATAACCCATTTTAAACTGAATTCGTTTGAAATATACAATTTCAAGATTTATTTAAATTACTATCGTATTTATCTCGGTCTTGGTCTTCAATTACAAAGATAATTCAATTAAAAAGATAGAAATCTTACTAATATTAATAATGCGAAAGTTTAGATCGATGGATGTTTGTTAGTGTGCTCAAACTGCTCAACAGATCTCAATGATTTCGCATAGATCTAGATGATAGTCTGGAAGAACACAGTCTACATACTTATGTTATTTTTAAATTTGGCGCGGACCTAGTCTTTGGCGAAACCTAGTATTTAAGCTCTCGATGATTTCGTTCATATCTATAGGAAAGTCTGGAAGAATACATAGACCACTTACTTTTTAATTTTTTTCAATTCTCAGGCGTAAGCTAGTATTCGATAAATACGTTTTGACTTCAAATAGTTTGATATCGTCTTACCTTTAAGAATCTCGGAAAGCGTATAATAGGATTCGTTCCTATTTTCAATTGGAGCAGATCTAAGGGGGTGAGCGCAGCAATATCCAACAAAAAGGAACTCGACGTCAGATAATGTTTCGCCAGCTTCTTTGAATCGTATACCTGAAAATTAATATACTGATAGAATTCTTTACCACTTTCTAAAGAATGGTAATTCTAACGTGAAATTGGAAATGTATAAACCTGATAGAATTGCTATTGGATGGATGGATAAACTGATTGCTAGTGTCTATTAATAATTAGATTTAGTTGTCTAAAAATTACTTTAAAATTTAGACACTTGATAATTTTAAACATCGATAATAGTTCTCAAAAATACTTAAAGTAAATTAGAATAATATTACAGTTATTTACTAATCTTTAGAGTGAATTGATCATATTAAATATATACAAAGCAACACCCTTAACGATTCTAAATGCAGTCAAAATGTTAGAATACCATCAGTCCTTGTTCCAAGTATCCAGTGCGTAGTTGAACGATGAGATCCAACGCGAAGACGATATCTCCGATGCCGTCACAAGTGAGCCAGAAACGATGACACAGTATCTGTTACAAGTTAAATTAAATAAGGAAGACCGAAGAAAGAATGGATTATAAAGTCGTATCGAAAAGAAGTACATGCTATGGCGACCCTCCGTGAGTATAATGGTCAGATGATAAAAATATAGGATTACATTTAAGAAATGCTAAACTAAATTGTAATAAATATATCCAAATTCCAGATTAAAATATCAACAGCCAATGATTCTAATTTTAAGAATTAAATTCAATTATAAATATTGGTTAAAACTAGTCTTGTTTGTCTATACTAATATTATAAAGAGGAAAGATTTGTATTTTTGTATTCGAATCATTTAAAAACTACTGGGCCGATTTCAAAAATTCTTTCACCATTAGAAAAGTAATTTATCTGTGAGTAACATAGGCTATCTTTTTTATTGTATTTTAATTTCACGCGGGCGTCGCGAGCAACAGCTAGTTAACCATAAATCAACCACTTAATACCATGAGGCCAGGGAAACACTGACAGATGGAATATCCCTAAATGATGACAGGGTATTTCAAAGTTATAATAAAGGATATACAATAATAACCAAAACAACCGATCTTTCATCTAAGTAATAAACGTTGTAGTCTTGTTTAATTATTAAATAGAGAACAAAAGCTGTATAAATTAGGGTTTCACCTACTTAAGTAGTACCATTATGCGAAAGCACATTAATTACTGCATTAAATGTTATTTTCTAAATGTATTATTTTTATTTGCTTAACTTTACTTCAACTGTTTTCAATAGTTTTTTTTAATTCGCTTTGTTCATTGTCTGGAATTTTACTTTCAGAATTTAAGATCCCATACTTTACATTTTCCTAATACCATAAGGCGTCTTGGGAAATAAAGAGAAATGTCACAAGGAAGTTTAAATTCCAAATGCGCAGTCTTTTGTCGGTAAACGTTAGCTGTGTACTTTGACGATTTGCTTTTAAAGCGTGACAAAAACACAGAACCAACACTAAATTGAGTTGATATATTTATTAACGAAATTTAAGAAGACCCTGCTGGGATATACGAGAGAAAAAAATAGTCGAGGATTTACGAGTTTAAGAAGAAATTTAGCGTTTAATAAACCAGTAAAACGTGCAATCTCAGAAAAAAAAATTCGAATCGCCGATTTTGAAATGAAAAGAATCTCAGAAAAAAATGTTTGGGAATCTCCGGTCTTAAAATCTTTGCATTAAAGTCCGTACCTGTAGTTCAGGGAAGCTTTGTCTCACGATAAGAGTCCAAAGATTATAGAGCACACAGATGGTAATAACCCAAAGCCAGTAGAAGTAGAAATTCTCATCCGGATTGACCACAGTCGGAGGTACGCGGACTTTCCGTCGCCTCTGTCTGTTGGTACTTCTGTGTTCGCCAGTCGCACCCTCTGAGCCTGTGTCTTCTACCTGCAGAATATAAGATCTCTTAAAAATGTATAGTAGAAGAATTTCTAGTACTTATATACATAATATGTAAACTTGTTGTAAAGGTAAAGTAGCAGGATCTGTCCCGATCTATACCTATAAACCTCGATATTGCTTTACGGAAATTTAACCAAAAAAAGAAAAAAGAGAAGACCAAATAAATATTTCTCAATCTTGCTTTTAATTTCAAATCTGATGCGTTCGATTAGATTTTTATCGTATTTGATCAAACTTACTGTTTCTTGTGTCTCCGGTATTTGTCGAGTAGAAAACCTTTTGAGGAACGAGTCTTCTCTCTTTAAAGTTGGCTTCTTGTGTATAGCCGAGCTTAGCTGCACGGTCGTCCGCAGCTTCATCCATCTTTGATTAGACTTTGTTCTGTATCACAATTATATCATTAGAAACATCCACGTTTAATTTAATATCTGGAAATTGATTATGAGAAAAGGCCTTAAGCAAATTTTCATGCGCCCAGAAGACTTTAGACATTTTGTACGCAAGAAGTGATTTTTTTTGTGACAATTTAAAATTTTGGGAAGAATTAAGCATTGAGTAGATTTTAATTGAAAAGATAGAATTTTTTGCTTTGTATAAAATTACAGTTTACCTTCAAGGGATGTTTTAAAAGTGTAGAATTAAATATATCATAGATTTTTTACGCTTTTGCCGACAAATTAAAATAGGCCTGAAATTCACTTGTACGTGCAAAACAAAAGAAAAACTAACTTTTCATGCGACATCCCATTATTCATTCAATATAAACAAAAACATAATCTCAATCAGATACAGTATATGAAAAGTATATTGTTGTAGAGTAAGAGTGAGCCTTCTAATAATCACGTAGCTAAAAACTAAATGTACTAAACTGAATCTAGAGTATTCAGGAGAGTAAACACTAAGTTTAAAACTATCGAAATACGTCCAAATGCAATTAAACAATTAAAAACATTGAAAAATAATTTGATAAGAGATTCGACATTTCAAGTAAAGAAGAAAAGTATAGTCACTCCAAGATAAACTAGTAGACACAATATTCACAAGAACACACAAACTCCATTTACCATTCTCGAAGTCCTACACAGACGAAGACAGAGCACATTTAGTTGGAAATCATAAACATATAATGATATAAATTATCAAACATTCGACAACGATGCGGTTTTACCGTTGTCTCGCCTTCATCGAACCTTTTTATTTTCCTGAGTGCCTGGTAGTATGCCATAACAGCTTGGACGTGCCTCCATTTATGACCTCGTGAGTCAGATCCGGGCCTCTCAGGGTCCTGGATGGACTTGCGAGAGCTTGATGAGCTCGAGGCAATGATCGGTCGCCTATAAAGTGATGTACCGTGTTACTTGCAGCAAGTGTGGTGTTGCAAATGTTAGGTGAAGATTCTCTGAGCTCAAGAAACTCTGCTAAATAAAACGTCTCAATTATCAATGCATAAAAAACTTTTAAGACACATTCTGTTTCAATGAACTAAAATTGAATATTATAATGTTTTTATCTAACAAAGTTTCATTCTTAAAACTCAATTTCAACCGTTTGTAGACGTCACAAAAATAAAAACATGCTTCATTAGCGGTTCACTAAACTCTTCCGCGGTTGGTGCAACTGTGTTTATTTTAGGCATTTCAGTGATCTATTCTTGCCGTGCAGAATTGCAGGGTACTAATTGCATTTAATACATTTGCAGGTAAATTATTAACTCTATTAGATTTTCCATACCAAAACTATATCACCAAGATTACTATTTTTGGTGAGAGGAAAATTGTTTAAGCAGTGAATTTTGCATGGTAAGGTCGTGCTCACTGGCAGTCGCAAGCTTGTCCGAAGCAATGTGTGCCAATGTCAACTTACATGTCATCAGGCCGAGCGTTAGGTGAGAATGTAGACAACTTGTTCATCAACCTATTTAGATTAATCATATCTTAATTACGTACGTACAATTAAAACGGTACTCATAGTACCTATTGAATCTTTCGCTACATATAAGCATATACAAGGGTACTAACATACGAAGGTAACCCTTAAGGGTATATAATCTAATAATTTAACTGACATAGCTTTTAGAGATTTGTTTGTTACGCCTGAGGCTTCTTAATTGCTTGAGACAGCTCCGCTAGATAAGATATTGTCCGTTATGAATCTCAGTTGGAATTAGAGAACTATTCAAATATACGAGTATCTTTGTTGTACTAACCGAGATCCAATTAAAATTTGTTTCCGGCAATAGATTATAAAATTTACTAAATATGCCTTCAAAATTCTTAGTACCTTATCTTTCGTATTTAAACTACCATTTAGACTGCACACCTTAGATAGTTAAGTGACAGTAAGTATAAAAGTTTTTCAAGGTATTATGAGTCAAAAAGAAACGCCATAGTAAACAGTATGTTGAGAATTTTGAATACCACTCAAAGTGCATTGGATTAATGTTGGTAATGTATGAGTCTGTGAATGTGGAAAATGATTACAATTTTTCGTAGTTCTTTAGGTACCTTCAAATAAGAAGTTATGGGAATTCAGTTGAATGGAATAATTTAATTGAATCATTTAATGGATCATTAAATTGAATCAGTCGAATGTATCATTCAATTGAATCATTCAATCAAATGGATGAATGATGAATGAAGAAAGTGAAAGTCATTTGTTTTCTGCCAAAATTTCAAAGTAAACGATTGTGTTACGTGCAAATTTACTCTATTTCATAATCGAGTAAAAGTTCTCATGCTTTTTAGATCGATGTAATTTATTTTTTTGCTAACTGTGTGTGCTTTCGTGTAAATAGTTTGAACCTATAGTTTTAACTGTGTATTAGTACTATGTACAAAGTACTGTTTAGTGCGTGGATTTTTATTTCAGTGCATCTATCATACACACCTTTACTAGTTCAATATTCTTTGTTACACCACCTGAAACATCTCTACTCGTTTAGTGTCTATGTATCTTGGATTGCTCTTTGATTAAATTTCTATGAATAGCGGTGGTTAAAACATGAGTTGCTTAATTGTTTGTCACGTTAATAATTAAATACTCTTTAGTAAAAAATCTACCTCGGATTTGTTCTTTTTTGAATTAGATTAAATCAACTATGGTTTAAGAATAAATGTTATTGGAAACTGTAGAGTGTGTTCTTTTGTTTTCATCACTATTCGAATGCAATTTGTATGACTAAGATCGAGGGCGTATAAATAATTTTATTGTCGACCTTTTAGTCTGGATGACTTCAATGCCACGGTGTGTCCTACAATCCGAGAATAAAACGATCGATACACTTGGAAGACCAAAGGCCCGCGGGGCAGAGGTTAATCAAATTATCTGTTTTGTATGTCATAACTTCTGACGAAGTAACTGAAACTGAGGATAATTGGAGAAAATGTCAGCTTGTTTATAATAGAGTTCAATATATCCGATAGTTTTGAATTAATAATTTTATGTTAAAATAATTAATAAATGTTGTGTTGTGTTTGAATTAAATATATCTTTTATTATCTATACATTCTAAATCAAGAAAAAACGTTATTTTCTATATTTATACGTCAATATCTTTAATTAACAATGTGTTGCGAATATTCTTCTAGTGTGAGTAGAGGTTAAGTTAATCACTTCCTGTTACTTAGAAAGATTAGTAGTGACATAATTGAATTTGATCACGTGATTCTTTATTCATATTACATGAATTTCTTTGTAGAAATATTTACAAAATATGTATTTTAAAATTGATTCTGGCTTTAAAATAATAATGATCACACACCAACGTTCCTTTTTATTTAAAATGTAGTTGTTTATTTTGAAAATCAGTGTTGTTTCATCATGAATTTATTGACGTTTCCACCAGACTGTGAATGTGAAACCACACAAGTGTACTCGACGTGTCAATGTCAACTTCATGGAAATACTTATACGTATAATATTTATGAATACGTCTTTTACTATGTAATAAAACTGCTTATCTATAACAAATATCTTTAGATAGCATGCCCAATAGCAGATGTGTATAATTATATACTCGATGGCACAAATATCTTTAGTAAAAATGTGAATGTCACAAGGTCAAATCATTACAAACAATGACGCATTTTAAGAGTACTTAAGGATATATATGTTACATGTACCTTACTAAATTGAAGTATGTACAACGTAGAAGAAAATCTGCTTCCTTAAGCTAACAGAACAGTTTTATAAATGCAAGTATTGCAGACTCAAAAATAATAGTAGTCTAGCAATCTTTCAGTACTCTTAGAAAATCGAGTAAATGACACGCCTAGAAACAGCCAAATGCCATTAATTACTATCGTAAAACAATTGACTGTTTCAAGTTTTGTTTTTTTGACGTCTTACAAATGAATCGAAGAATACGCTTACCGTTGTCCTGGACTTTTGCTTTCGCTGCTCGCATCCTTACTGGAATCGTCATCGTCTTCCCTGGAGGTGGTAACCGATAGTGCTCGTGAGGAAGGCTGCACTTCACTGGTCTCATTGTCTTCGCCTTCTGATGTTCTTGTCGTGCCTTCTTCTGCCTGTGGAAAAAGAAAAAGTACGTAAGACTCGAGACACGGCAGGATTGTGAGAAATGGAAATCAATTATCTTCTTCAGTACAATTAGACTGGTCGCTTAGTAGTCTGTTGTTGGTTTATATTTAATTCTCATCTGCTTTTATCTGCTCATTGCTGAATATAAGCCATCCGTATTGCTTTCAACGATATAGGTTCCTCCGCCTTCCATCTATCGACTCCAAGCCGTGCAGAACAGTAATCTATCGCGACTTGGAGATTAAACTTTATTCCAGGTTTATATACAAAGACATAACTTGAAAAGGCCATTATTTTCTATTAACTACACAGATTTGAAAATATAGTTTTCAGTTATTTTGAAAAAGGAATATTGATAATTTAACAACTTAGAATATAAAGACATTTAAAATGTATATAGACGAGGCATGGTGAATAAAATTTTTTCACCGGTACTTTCTTTGAAAGGTAGTTAATATATCAATTGTCAAGTTTAGTGCCAACTCTGTCATTTTTGTTAAATAAAATACAATTAATAATATTTACATGTGGTTTTGAGGATGTATCAATAGATAGCGTTAGTGAGATTATGCGAAAACTGTTTCAAGTGAAGTGTATATATGCCTCATCTACATATTTTTTTAATCTCTTTGTTGTATTCTAACTACTGCCTTTATTTGTTGAGAAACAGTGTATAAGTTTACGATGAATATTCTATTTGTGGATAATAGTCTCGATGTAGCCCGAGCTTGTTAGCGGTTTAGTTGTCACGGACGGATGGAAATAATGTTGATCGTTAAAACAAGAATAGTACAGAACAAGTTTGGTAACAGATTAAAGACACTACATGCGAGATAAGAAAAAAAACGTGCAGTATAAAAATATTGTTACAATAATAATTATTACTAAATTAAATTAAAAATGACATTATAATCTTTATTGCAAATGGAATATGAAATTAACACAATAATAATGTAAATGATGGTTTTCATCTCGATTTTTTTAACTTTTAAAATATATTTATATGTTTAGGCCATGGAAGTCCACGGTTATGTTCACTCACCTGCTCAATAATTATCAAGGGAATTCTTTCTTCGAAAGTTCCATCAGCGTAATTTCTCATATTCTCTACATGAAATTGTTAATTTTCAATATCAAATGTTACATAAAAAGTAGCGTTTACTAAATTATTATTGTAATCGTAGTACAGATTGATTTTTGTTATTGAGTTTTCGTTTCCCGTAGTTAATTTATTATATTGTTGATTTGTCTTATGATATCGATTTACTGCCGAAACCTTTACAGAAACATGTTTTTGTCGTAGTCTTTTTAGAGATAATGAGAGGATGGTTCGCTAGTTACTAATATAATTATTAAGTCCAGTGTTTTATGTAAACAAAATTAAATTATCGTGACCTCTTTGATCTCACCTATGTCTAAATATTTGAAAGAAATATAGACATCAAAGTATTAATGTCCATTTTGTTCAATGAACATTGCGAATCATTTGACCTTTTCTCTTATGTTTTTGTTGTGAAAATCTGAAATACATTTTTTGGTAATACAAAAACATTCTTCTTACAAACGAAGCGTATCATATATATTATGTACCGAAAATGATCACTAGTATATCTGTATATGCACGTATTTTTATACACTGGCTTTTGCCCACGACTTCATCTGCGTGGAATTAAATAACAAACATCTGTCTGTGTCTTCTTTCAGACTATATTCTACATCTATGCCAAATTTTTAGGCTACAAACTCAAACAAACATACGTCTAAACTTTCGCATTTATAACATTAGTATGATAGGTATTTGTCGTTCGAATTTTAAACATTTTTCTTCGTAAACGCCGCTTAAATTTATGATGCCAAGATTTTATTGGAATTTAACTATGGCATTATAAAGTAAGACGATGTCCCTATGTCTAAAAATACTGCACCAAAAAATGAATAGTGTTTTGTCAAGCGAAACTTAGGTAGATTGCTAGTTAGGAATTTAAAAGATACGAACCGATAGAGTCAAGAGCAGTGGAATAAAGCTTATTTGATTTACAGTCGAGTGGGTGTGAAAGTTTTTCCGCCGACAGCTCGTTAAGGTCACGTTTAGTGCTTCACTTGATTACTCTGTCGGTATGATGGTACTTGATGGGACGTTTCTCTTTCCTCTTTCTATTTTCAATCGTAACTCATTTGTTTAATTATATTTTTACAATTAGAAGCAACAAATTGGAGGTGAGTTGCCCACGACAGAACTCAATGGAAATGTTTAGAGGAGGCCTATGTCAAGAGGCACACTGAAATTAAAGACATATGAACTTAATGCATTCTCAACTATAGTTATTTGAATAATTTCAGAATAAAAGGTATATATTATTAATTAGAAAG